AGCTCTTGATCTATTACGCACTATTTCTGTCTCACCATCTAATTCTCTTATTACTTTTCCATGAGCTAGTCTGGGTTGTTCATTTTCTTCGTCCCATGCTTCTAATGCTTTTTCTATGTCTCGGTCAAATCGAGTGTTTGCCCAGGCTATCTGCTTCTTCATCTTCTTAATGCCTTGCGCCCTCGCTAGTGCTAGATATTCTTCAAAACATAACATTTTGATATATTTTCTATTTATGACATAAAATATAAATTCATTAGTTAACAATAGGTAAGTGTTAATTAATTTACCAATACCATTTCTTGTATTCTGGCTTTGTTCAGTTGATTACAGACATCTGGTAATCCAAGAAAAGTTCATAGACGTCCAAAAAATAGTTCACTTTGTTGATTCCAAAAAGTTGAAAAAAATTCAAAATAGTTCTAGTAGCCTGTTACAGAGTAGAAATTTGTCCAGTTTTAGATAAGACATCTTTAGGAACAGTTACAAAAATAAACTTGATCTGCTAAATCCAAACAGTAGAAAAACTTGAACAGCTAATCCATATAGAAAAAACTTGAACAGCTAAATCCAAACAGTAGAAAAGAAACACTAAGACTTGATCGGCTAAATCCAAACAGAAAAAACACACAGACGATATTTACTCGACATTGGTGAGACAATATCGAAATAAGGTGATAAAAATTATCACGTTGATGACTTGACTTGAACAAAACGTCTGACTTGACTACAGCAACCCTTCTGACTTGAGTGTAGATAGATGACTTTCAAGAACTTGACGTACTTGGTAAACAGTGGAAGACCACAGACTGTAATATCTCCATTTCTGACATATGTAGCACCAATTCTTCAACCACTTGTGACATCATAAGTAACAGTAATACAATGTAGCAACATCACTTTATTGCCTCCACTTCTGACACCATATGTAACAACATGAATTCTTTGTTGTTATTGTGGGTTCTTCAATATACTCATACGAGCAACAGTAGTTGTGAAACAATAACTTTATTTACACTTTGTACAGAGAATTAATAGATCCATAGTAAATCCATGGTCACAACTGGTATAAGTACAATCACAGTCAAGAAACAAAGTGTCGTAGTAACATCCTACATTCACAGCCACAGTCCTCAGGTTCAAGTTCTAGCACACAACAACCGTTCACCTTTTGCTCTCCCTTTTATTCACTACTTTCTCTCCCCTTACGTACATGAGCGATCTCACCCAAAAGCATGGATAAACACATGAGGATCGCTCAGACAGTCCTTCCGCTAGCCAGGTATTCTTCATTCATGCAACTTCATGTAAAACACAATATAATATAAACATACATAATTATACAGTCTGTGACAACTGTAATAGAAGAATCTTCAGTAATCTATCATGGAACAATTAACTGTCCACGGTTGGGGAACAATTAGTTGTACAATAGTTGTGGAACAATTAACTGTACCATAGCCATGGAGCAATCAACTGTTACACTGTATCACAGTTATAGAAAAATTAACTGGTACACAGTTATAGAACAATTAACCGTATCACAGTTATAGAACCGACTCATGCTCCTAACCTGAGCTACCCCCACCCCCCACCTCCCAGTTTACATTGCCTGCTATAAAGCGGGTACCACGACGATCCCGATAGAATACAACAGCCCAGTTTTGCTGGTAGATTTATTCCTTTTAACTCCCAATTATGACAGGTGAATCGCAACTGTATCAAAGATATGTTAATTCCGTTCGACGACTTGTGTCCCCCCTCCTAACAAATCACCCCCCCCCCCCCACGAGTGTCGCCAATGATTGATTCAACAAACACACATATACCATGGTCCACCTCGTCACAAGTGTCGACCACCGTTTGTTATTTGTCAATAGAAAATAAAACTCTTTGACTGAATGTAAGTCTTGGCTCAGTCTGTTTAAAGGCTTTCTGCTGCTACTTTTTCATTTACATAAATTAGTAAAGCAGTAGATCTTTTGTGATGGAATACTCGCTTACATAAATTAATACGAGGTGAAGTTGTTGAATGCTTCGTGTAGAGCTACCGTTATTAGAATATCATTTTTTAACGTCGACGCGATCATATTTTAACGGAACAAAAATAAATTGTCGCCGTTTGACTTACGCAGGGATGAAAACCCCACTTTCAGAGGTCTTAAAAGTGGTGCGTTAAGTTGAGTACGGGTAGTGGGCCGGTAAGTTGAGTACGGGTAGTGGTCCGGTAGGTTGAGTACGGGTAGTGGTCCGGTAGGTTGAGTACCGGTAGTGGTCCGGTAAGTTGAGTACGGATAGACCGTGAAGGTTAGGCCAGTCTCCGGTTGTTGTTTGAAAGATTGAGGCAATTTACGTACAAATTGAAATCAAGTAGTTTAGATTAGCCGTCTAGTTTTTAAACAGTACAGCCTCAAGCTGTAGTTTGAAAACGGGCAATATAGCGACAACTCGTCTACTTTGAAATCTAGTAATATAGCCTTGTTTGAAATATAGTAATATAGTCTTGTTTGAAAACAGACAATATAGCTAGAAGTCATATAGCTTGAAAGCAAGCAATCTGGAGTAACCACAGATAGTGTAGTTTGGAAACAGGCAATATAGTGGCACGATATAGTGGTAGATTAAAAAGAAAATAGTGTCATTTCAAATAGGTTCCCAAAAAGGAAGACCTGGAGACGTGACCTGGAAGAAGACACTAAGAAGATTAGATATACCTGGGACAGTTGGAGAGACTGCCTATGTCTCAGGAAGGGCGATAAACAAACTAACAATAGGTTCATATAGAAAATATAAGACTGACATTTGACTAGTCTCATGACTTTCTTGCGATATTCTAGATCCACTCTGGGTTGGCTGGTTTTCTAGATACCGGATGGTGACTTGATGACGTGGTCCTTGTGGATGGTGGTGACTTGGTTCATGTGGTCCATACACATGGCTGCCCTTAACCTTGTCTCCACAGACGGTGCTCATGTGCTAACTTTATCCACGGAGATTGTGATCCGTTTTCTGTGTGGACCTTGGCCACTGGTCTGGTATTTATTTGAAATGGTGGTCTCTGTTTTTTTGAGTTAGTGGTCTCTATTTTATTTGAGTTAGTGGTCGCTATTTTATTTCAGATAGTGTTTTCTATTTTCTATGAGTGGTCGCTATGACAAGTTGACCCTATGAGAAGCTGGTCTCTATTTTAAGAGCAGAGCAGCAAACATTCGATCTGGTGTATTTTGTTAGCCTTGGTTTCATTGTTGCCCTGTCGGCCAGCTGAAAACTTGACCATTCTGTATCAAGTTACCACTTGGCAACTTTTGTTTGAAACAGTTTACAGATTTGTTGGACGCGTTTTTTGTGTTAATTCTACAATTTATATTTTTGGGGGAAATTAGGCGATGGATTCTAGGTATAGAGGTCAATAACAAGTCTACGAAGGAGAGGGGTAAGTGACAAGTCTATGGGGAAGGGAGGTAAATGACAAGTCTATGAGGGAGGGAGGTAAGTGACAAGTCTATGGGGAAGGGAGGTAAGTGACAAGTCTATGAGGGAGGGAGGTAAGTGACAAGTCTATGGGGAAGGGAGGTAAATGACAAGTCTATGAAGTAGGTAGGTAAGTGACAAGTCTATGGGGAAGGGAGGTAAATGACAAGTCTACGAGGGAGAGTAATGCCAAGTCTATGAGGGCAGTGTACAGTATGTGTTGGTGAATGTACGATATCAAATAACACACCAGCTAAGATTGTCTGTATGTAATTAATTTAAAAATAAATAACATAAACATACAATTAAAAAATACTATTTTTTTCGCACTGACATACGAATTAAATATCATTTAAAATTTAAGAAATGAATACTTAACGAATTTAAAATAAATATTATCGTTACTGTCTCTTTAAATGGACTATTTGCTTTAAAATGATGCTTTAAAAGGATTACTTTCTATGTTGCTGTGATCAAGGGGTATCCATTTTCACGTTGTAAATGTAAGTTGTTCTTTTCAGGTAACATCTTGTCAGTAAACTCGGCATCTTGTTAGTAAACTCGGCATCTTATCAGTAAACTCGGCATCTTGTCAGTAAACTCGGCATCTTGTCAGTAAACTCGACATCTTGTCAGTAAACTCGGCATTTTGTCAGTAAACTCGACATCTTGTCAGTAAACTCGGCATCTTGTTAGTAAACTCGGCATCTTGTCAGTAAACTCGGCATCTTGTCAGTAAACTCGGCATTTTGTCAGTAAACTCGGCATTTTGTCAGTAAACTCGGCATCTTGTCAGTAAACTCGGCATCTTGTCAGTAAACTCGGCATCTTGTCAGTAAACTCGGCATTTTGTCAGTAAACTCGGCATTTTGTCAGTAAACTAGGCAACGCCTCCTGATAAATCAGCCGGGGAGATTAGTGCTGATGCCACAAAAATTGTTCAAATAAAACAAAACTATTGACACAATCTTTTATCAAATACCAAGATCGTACGTCTGCTAATTTATCAGACAGGAGGTTTTTTTTACACACACATAGACGGACAGACGAACAGACAGACAGACAGACAGACGCACAGACGCATAGATTAAAGTACACGCGACTTTCTATAAAAACAATGGATACAAAAGTAAAGATAAGTAAAAGTAAAGGTTCCTCCTTAGACCTGCCGATCCATTAGATAGGTGAAGTAGAGTTTATATGTTTCTCGACTTCCGTATATGAAGGGATAATGTAGTAAGCACTATTCCCAGCGGTCTATACTTTCTCTAATGTGAGTTAGGTACCCATTGGAGCTGGGTGAACTCAGGTACGTTGTTCTGACTTGAAACCGGATTCGAACTCGAGACTTTCAGGTTAGCAGGCGTATGCTATACCATTCAACAACGCCGTCCCAAAATTACACCTGTATTCCCAACACGAAATACACATAAATATACACTCTCATACAAATACCTTCCAATTGTAATACAGAAACACATACATCCACAAAAACTCGCACAAAAATATACACAAAGAAACACGAAGTATCATGAAATATTTGACGATGTATTCAAATTTCTGAATAACTTACACACTTTCTCATGACATGTTTAAATGTCTACATGTTTGCAGCCTCTACATATGAAATATAATCTTAGAACAGTTGAAAATCAAAACATTCGTCGAAGTATCATTATTTACAAAATATAAAAAAAATATTTAACACATCTGGGAAGAGGAAGTAAGGAGAATGGATTAAAGATATAAACGATGATTAATCCAAGCGCGGATTAAAGTTCACTCCGAAATGGGAGAGCGAATGATGATCCGGCTAGATCGGCTATAAATCCCGGGGGTGGCTCAAATGGGTGTGTGGATGGCCCGCGCGTTAAGGCATAAATAACACTTTATCATAAAATGAGAAACCATAAAGTTGCAATCCGACAAGCGCTGGATATCTCGACGTTTTCGGCAATTGTACGAACCCAGGTCAAAGTTCAGAGATACAGCGTTCAAACTAGTCCTGACAGTAGGGGACTTTATTAAAAAATAGAACGCGAGGCCCTTGTCGTGTTTTGATCGCAAGTTGGGGAGGAAAATTCTCGTCGTCGGGAGTTGTTGATTATGAAAGTTGCGACTGTTAGGTTGGGGATACCATAGGTTTACCGAGGGGATACCACGGGGATACCAGCAGATAAGCTTCCTAGAGACGGGCTGTAGGGATGGAGCCGTGGCCTAGCGACGCCCCGCTTTAGGGGTGGGGGGAGCACGGGACTTGTCTGGTGTTATCGAGGATCGCGAGGGTTGTATGATTAGTGAGAGGCGAGCAAGCTTAAGTCAATAGACTTGCAGGAGAAGGTCGCCTGCGTCGGGCGCATTGGGAAATCAAGCCGCTTTGTTCACAGGGACCAGTTACATGGGGGTAGGACTAGCGCCGACAAAAGGGCTCCGATTAAAATAAAATAAATGTGTGTGTCCGTGGCCTTTTGTACAGAGGGACGTCAATAATATGACGTCAGCATGGGCTCATGTTTTGGACACGCTAGCAGTCGCTCGCACACACACAAATACACACACACAAGCAAGCACATACACACACATGCACATTAACATACACACATTTACGCCCACACACAAATACACACACACAAGCAAGCACATACACACACATGCACATTAACATACACACATTTACGCACACACACAAATACACACACACACGAGCAAGCACATACACACGCGTACACATAAACACACACACGCACACACACATATATACACAAAGACACACGAACAAGCACATACACATGCGTGCATATAAACACACACCATCAAAGCCCATATTTCTCAACTCACAATCATTAATTTAAAAACAATATGTAATGTTGGCAAATATTAAGCTATCATGAAATTGTTAACTAATCAATTAAAACTGTATAGTTAATCCATAAAGTTATTTCTACAATCAAGTCACTATTTTAAAAATAACATTTGCGCTGAAAAAATAAAAACTCGCTTGCAGAAATGTAAATGATTACATATGTGTGAATTTAATGTCATGTCAATTAAAAAACGAAGGTATTTCCTCAGTCTCTCATTAATTGCACACTTGATTATTAAAGAATATCATCAGCATCTTTGTCTAAAACACATTGGAGCTGAGAGTTTAATTATTACTGCATGAAGAAATCGATTACCGGCAACTTTATCATCATGAGTACAGAGTATCGATACTGTATTTTAGTATCAATGAAACATGATTGCGATATTGGAGTATTTATCATAATTTATGCGTCGAGTTTACTGTCCATTAATGGCGATTGCCGTGTGAAACAGATTCGATTATTTTCTCGCAATATTTGAAATGCTGGTGTGTAGAACACGTTGAATGAAATTATCAAGTCGCTGAGTTGCATTTCAAAATATCGATACTTGGTTCAGTCACAAGATTCGATTTCTCTTCCAGGAGCGATTTTTTTCCCGTGTCATCTGGGTGTGACAGTGAAAGAGTTCGGAGTCCGAAACAGCAGGAATTCGAAGTCTGAAGCAGCCGAGCTACATCGTCAACGATGTGTGTGTAGATAACGATCACCTGTCGTCGACAGAAACATCGCCAGACACATCAACAATATTGAAGGAGTCTGTGAAATTGTTTTTAGTTCCTGAATCAATCACGTGGTTCAATAACCCGAACTGAAGCAGACGATTCCTGGGTTGTGTCGCCGTTGTCCAGCGAATGGCACTCATCTTCTGGCTCACACCTGACTAAGTCTCCACCCAACATACTGGACAAAGGTTCATTAATCAAGTTTTAAAGTTCCCGTTACAAATTATCAGCTAATTGGCCAAACTGGAAGGGCTCTACAAATCCACACCGTCCAGGAAGTTACAGTCCCCTTTCAAGACGTGGTCGCCATTTTCGTCTTCCGGTTCGGAGTTGCCCTCCATGTCTTCTGCCTGTTCTTGTTTTTTCTTGGCCGTCGCCATCTCTGCCGCGTGCTTCTTCCGCCATTTTGTGCGGCGATTTTGAAACCAGACCTGCGATGAAAAAATAATATTGTTATTTTGTTTTTGTTTCGAATTGCATTGTTACATTATCGTTTCAACATATTTTTCTAATATATATATCGTTTACATTATCAATAATTGTATCTTGAGTATTATGATTAGATTTATCGTTAGTATCAGAATTAGATAATCACAGTTACGCGTATCGTTAATTGTGTTGTTAAAAATTATCGTTTTGTCAATAGTTATTATCATGTCTAGATTACACTGTTACTATCGTAATATACATCTCTAATATCGTCGCCAGTGTCAACTATGAAATAATAAATTGTTATAATAGTTTACGTTAGATTGAAGTTTTTATCGTTTTGGTTAACTTTCTCCCATGTAGTATTGTGAAAAAATAAACCCAGCACATAACCACGTTATATGTTGTGTTTACCAAAATTTTCACATAACAATATCTCAAACTTCACATTAAACAATGTATCCAAAACATCTTTACAATCGGGTTAACATACAATCACACAATCATAAGGTTCTAAAGTTATTCTAGCCTAACAATAAATGATACGTTACAATCATCCTTATCCTTAATTTTTAAATTATCCTAAGGTTACATTGTGATAAAAGAAAACAATAAAAACATTTGAAAACCAAGTGTTTTTCAAATTAAAGAGTTATATATATATATATATATATATATATATATATATATATATATATATATATATTTATATATATATATATATATATATATATCTTGGTTTCTATTATTTGTTATTTATTACATTTTCAAAACAAACACTTTTGTTATATTATAATCCAAAGTAACAACTATACATTTATACAATAAGTACTATTTACACGCCTAGTATTGTAGTTGTTCTGTAAGTTAGCAACAAGACAAAATCTTCCCCGTCCATACAACACTCACGCACTTAATTAATCTTCATGAGAGTAATCGAATCCATTTAATTCGCTTCATTAACATCTTGGTAATCATCATTATGGATATAACCTAAGTGAAATATTTATAATCGTGAGCCTGATTGGTTCGGTGATTACCACGACTGCAATAAGAACCAGTTTATTGCGCGCTCATCCGCCATTTTTAGCCCTCTCGTCTGCATTTCAAAGTGCCTCGTTAAAATCTCGTTGCGATGACGTTGTTCTCGCGCGGCCCAATTTAAATAAACATTTGTGTAAATCGCGGCGAGGTAAAGATGGCGGCCTGTAATTAAAGGGGGGGGGGGGGGGGTCACGAATATGACAGGCAATCATGTCACGTGATAGGGATAATTAACCGCTCGGTTTTGTTGAGATCCGGGGTATCCGTGGTGAATTGGGTTTAGTTGCCCGAATCTCATCTCAATCGTACTCACTCGAGTCAAGGACTTTCATACTAGCTGCTCACACGGGCTTCATATAAGCTAACGGTTTTTTAACATATCGTCTTTTCTCGTTCGTGCCTAAAACACTGAGCAGATAAAGTAGAGTCTCGTTTTAGACTGTGTAATGTGTTGTCATATTTATAAAATGTGATCGTGTGGTTTTTTTGTAAAACGTTTCTAAAGGTTGGATTTATTTCACCTTCTCAGTAATTTTAGTATCTAAACAAAAGAAATTGAATTTTTTTTTAGTTTCCTTATTACGGGGAAATTGTGAATAAAAAGTGTGTGCGGGGAAGGGGGGGGGGGGGGGTACATAAATTCAACTCCTGACCAATGGGAGAGCGAATGAAAGATTTTATTTCTAAAGTGAAGCTTTCCGTATTTAAATTTCTAAGTGATTTAAATAAATAGAAACGAAGCCTTAAAGGCAAAAAGATATTGTAAAGTATTCTGAATAATTTGAACATTTTATAACATAGTATTAAAACATTATATTTGTAAATTGTTTTTCAGCATCAATTGGTTTTATTTTTATTAATTAACCGAAGCTGCCACTCAGAGGGCGAAACTAACAAAAGTACGTTTTTCATCCTTGCCAACAAGAATGATCCGGGGGGAGGGGGGTAATCATCTAACATAGCTGGTGCTATTTCCACTTGTCCTTACTGATACACGAATAAAAACAAAATATCGATTTAAAAATTCCTACAGCTCTTATTTACCCAATACTTAACATTTCCTGTATATTTACATTTAAATAACATTCATAATAACATACACATAAATAATATCTGTGCACAAAAAATCGACCGGTATTTTTATTTTACAGTAAAAAAAGAAAATGAATAGACCCAAAGTCAACCACCGTGCGGCCATTTTATATCCCATAATGCATTTAGCAGAAACTAAGTTTGCTGTCTGATATTTTCTTTGTATGCTATCGTGGCTGGCACAGGCACATCTCGGCTATCAAAGAGCGCCTATGCCCTGCCGACAAGCGAACCTTTCAATTGCCGCTTGCCGCCGGCCCCGGGGTGGTCCGTCGGTCTCTCACCCATGACGTAAACACAGAAAACCGCTTTTATTAGTGAAAATGGGCTGAAACATTCAACCCTAATCTATCACAGCGTGGGGGGTGGGGGAAGCGGGGAAACGCGAACATTGAATGAAAAACGATTAAACATTTTAAAAAATTACGAGCGTAAAATTTTACCGAAAAAAATATTAAACAAAAAAAGTTTGAGAGTGTTGTAGGTTTATCGCCATATGTTGAATCCAGTTAGCGGCTCGCAGACGTACCCCTCACCCTTCCCCTCCCCCCACCCTTCCACTCCAGCGAATTTTTCAATGCTGGAGAGAAAACTTTTCTTTTTTTAATTGCAGGAGTCATTACTTTTTCTGCCTTGCGTTTTATTTGTTTTGTTTTGAAGCGGCAGCAAATTATACATTCACTCTTTTGCGATACGGATTAAATCGCACATGGGCGTTGAGGATTAAATCGCACATCGGAGTTGAGGATTAAATCGCACATCGGCGCTAAGGATTAAGTCGAGGCATCAGCGCTGAAGATTAAGCCCTAACGGGTAGCATTGACTCTTAATCCCGCCTGATGTGCAATTAATTTTTTAAACTGCATTGTTGTTTTTTTTTTTGTTCGGTATACACATTGTGGCGTATGCTGGCAGGGATGGTATAAAGCGGATGGTAGGATGGTATATAACGACCGGGCCATCATAAATTGTTGATCCGGAGCTGTGACAGCTGCAGGAGCTGACAGCTCTCAACCACAGAATCCCAGCACAAAACGACGCGGTCTCTCGTGACTTTAGATCGGGAATAATCGTTTCTTTTGTTACCGCTCTAATCCATGTGTGTCTATTGGGGGCTGGGGTTGGGGGGGGGGGGGAGGGGGGGGGGGAATAAAAATCAACAGTTCTAGTTTAGCTTTTAAGTGAGTTAAACCTCATCGAGCTTAGTTTATCATTGATATGATGATATATACATTAACACTTTATCATTGATATGATGATATATAATTCAACATTTTACCATAGAAATGAGATTAGTATCAACATTTGAATATTGATATGAGATTATTATCAACATTTTACCATTGAAATTTGGTTAGTATCAACATTATACCATAGATATGGAATTATTATCAACATTTTACCATTGCTATGAGATTAGTATCAACATTTTAACTTTGATATGAAGAGATAAACTTAATCCAAACGTCTTTGTTTTAAATGAGAGGACGGACGCGTGCCTTCTCTCCGGTAATTAACTTTTATGTTTATCTAACATTAGCATGGTAACGATTTACCACCCCGTGGGTGGGGGGGGGGGGGGGGGGGCGAGATATGGTGTTTAACGCGTGATGATAATTAAGATCAACAATGAGATTGACATATTGTTTATTTTCTTATATTCACCAGAAACAGGATACAGAAATTTGAGTTAGGACCTTTAAGTATAAATTTAAAAAACTTTGTTTTTTATAAGCATTAAATGTTAAATCAAATGTTGATAATTAAAATCATCTTTATAGAAAGTAAAATTTTGAGAAAGGATTCATTTTTAATTTTTAAATATAGATATATTATCATTTCTGACTATTGCTGTACATATGGTGTAAATATACTTTATAATCTATCTATTGATTTACATAATCCATCAGATAATCTATTCATATTCGACAGATGATACTGGCAGAAAACCGATTGTCACTTCATATACCAATCTTTTCACCCTTTTCAGATGTCAGTTCATATACCAATCTTTTCATCTTTCGGATCATCTTTGAATCACTCGCAAATTGACAAATCTCGCGTCAAAAGTTGAGTTATAGACTTTTATTTTAATCCTATCCCTCAACCCCCCCCCCCCCCCTTAAGACAGTCTACACCCCCTCCCAACGTCTACCTCCCCCCCTTTCCTGTCCCCGACGTAGCCCTCTGTGCTGGAGAACACATCACCAACCTACTATCGCGACCCCAAGATCTGTTTGCTTTAAGCTGTGCCGAAATGACGCAGGATACCTTGTGCAGAATCTGGTCATTTCGTCGCGACCGAAAGTACTAGAAAAACAAACTCTTCTTCAGATGTGAACATACCACGTGGTACAAATATTCATCACTCTGTTCATTCATACACAAGTAAAACACATTTTCCCGTTTTTTAATTTTATCCGAGAATCTGCGCTGAATTTCCGCACCAGCACCATATCGCACGGTGCGCATGAGGTAGATAAAAGACCACCCTGGGTGAGGCATGAATAGTTCAATACGTCATAGTAGACCAATAGAGTACAAACTGAATGTATTTTCTACCGTTATTGATAGTCGTCTGTATTAAGATTAAGGTTAGGGCTAGGGTAGCGATAGTATTAAAAATGGCTTCGAATTAGTACTAAATTTAGTCACTATACATGTTTTTTTTTAATTTGTTTTTTTTTTGTTTTTTTTTTTTAATTTTTTATTTTTAACATCGAAGCAGTTTGAAACAGTTTGAAACAGCATAGTTCTTAAGGCTCACGTTTAATGTAGTGATGGATCAAGTACTTTGAAATCCCGAGGTATTTCTAATTGATGGAGCTGGGGGTTTATTTTTCCTTTCCTTAACGACTCGGCCGAA